TTGGCATCTCTCTCCTCTATTCTACACCACTGATGGGCAGCTGTGTGGGCACTGGTGAAAAAGCAAACCGAGCATCCACTTACTCTGCTTGCATCACGATTCTTTTTCTGGCTTGTGGGCTGTCCTGCTGATGTTCACCCAGAAGGTTGCACAATGGCAAAGCACAAAATAATCGGAACGAAATCATACATAATGTGTTTGAGTAGATTACTAACACAGAGAGGGGGTGTTTGGGGAGGAGATGGAAGTGCACGCATTGCATGATCCTGTTCTGGAACAAATTTGGAAATCAGGAAGAGTGAAACAGAGGGCAGAGTGAACCCATGAAATAAAGGAACAGAACAGAAAATCCGCTTGTCCTTAACACATGCACAAATGCCTGTCAAAAGCCATATTTTGCCACAGCAAATATGACACATTTTCCACCTACCTTCCTAAGCTGCATGGGTGAGGCTGGGCATTTCTTCCAATAAAGTTCTGGTTTTGTGAATAGCACACAAACACGGAAACTCTCTTTGTGATCCTGGTCCAGACAGGCTCCTGTGCAACAGTGGGCTGCACATCCTTCAGTGCCCAAGAACTCCCCTGCCCATCTGAATCCAGACCCTTCTGTAAATCCTGACCACAGTGATTAGCAGTTTAGGAAAGGTAAGGAGAAGCGCCTAAGCAAGTGACAAATGGTATGAGAGCTGATCCTGCCTGACAAAATGCACAAAGCACAATACTTGCATATTGAGGTGTTAAACTAGAGTGAAGGGGGGGGGGGCTGGCACAGTCCAGCAAAGAGGATCTGCATACTCATACAAGTGCTGAATCTTCTCTCTAAGAGATAAAAACAGCATTTGGCACCACTGAGCTGTGGCCCTTCTCCAAGTAACCCCACCAGGTATGTTTAAACAACGCACTTAAAGATAGTTATGAGTACCCACTAAATGCTTAGCATCGCACCATTGGTTTTTATACAGTACTTGCAAACCACTTAGAAGTCTGTTTTGGCATTAAATGGTGAATTAATGAATTGCTACTCCTTCTACTAGCATGGCTAATGATAAGAATTGTAGTCCAACACATTGGGAGGGCTGCAGGCCCCCCATCTCTGCTCTAATACCTTCCTGGGTGTTGTCTGAAGGGCATCTCTTGCCCTTATGCAGTGTGGTGTAGTGGTTAAGAGCAGTGAACTCGTAATCTGGTGAACCGGGTTCACGTCCCCGCTCCTCCACATGCAGCTGTTGGATGACCTTGGCCTAGTCACACTTCTCTGAAGTCTCTCAGCCTCACTCACCTCACAGAGTGTTTGTTATGGGGAAGGAAGGGAAAGGAGATTGTTAGCTGCTTTGAGACTCTTCAGGGTAGTGATAAAGCGGAATTAATCACTTTAATCACTGTCTGAGAGGGAAGATCATGATCACCACAAGTACTACAATGAGAAAAACCTGCTCACGGCTCTTAAAGGCACTGGAATCCTCAGGTGTACAAAGTATACAATCTAGAGTCAGATTAATCATGTTAATATCTCACTGAAATTAATATGATTTGGAACTGTGGGCTGATAAATCCCAAATGCTGGTTTAATAAAATATGGAATACGGTTTACGAACATAGGATGAAAGAAGGTATAAAGTTCAAGCAAATTTATAGAATGAGTTCATTTTGATATCTCAGAATGGTAACTTTCTGGCCAATATCCAGTTGTATTATTCTTTTACTTTACTATATTTATCTATTCTTTGTATCACCTTTTTATGTTAATTTCCCCTTTTTTAAATTAAAAGAAAGTGGGTGATTTGTGTAATATGAGTACAGAATGCCTGAGACCCAGGTAACCTGTAGTTTTGTGAGTAGCTGGGATATAGGCAATGTGTCTGTGTGAGGATGAGAGAGGTGCAATGAAAATGTAAAGCAGAAGCCTATGCATGTCTACTCTGAAGTAAGTCACACATAAGGTAGGAATGATTGTACAAGCCCACTTACCTGGGAGGAAGCCCTGCCAATACATTCCTTGAAACAAACCAGGACTTTCTGCACATACTTATTTCAAAGCATCAAGCTACGCAGCAGGTGGGTGTGTTTGTGTTCTGGGGAGTCTTGTAATGCAACAGGCTTTCTTGTAGGGACCGTCTGTGAACAGGGAAACACTGGTTTGTGTAGAGTTTTGATGCAGTTTACTGAACCTCAAGATAGGAAAGGGACTATGGACCTAAGCAGCATCTCATCCAGCCTCCCTGCACATGCCAGAATAACTGAAGGCAGACTATTCACTAACCCATGCGTACAATTTGCTGTGCCTACAAACTGACTTGCGTATATACCAGGTGCTTAAATGGGGTGCCCCAAGCTCAGTCTGCTGTGAAAGGTGAGATGGGATGTTGGGGTGGAGGCAACAGGAAGTGTGGGAGTGCAGTCCTATACATGTCTACACAGAGGAAAGTCGTGTAGAATTCAACAGGACACACTAAGGCTGCGATGGCTGCTTACTTGGGAATAGTCTCATCTCTTCAGGTCATACTTGAGAATAAGTGGGCACTGAAGCTTTGGATCTGCACCACGTATTTAAAGCGCATCCAATGAACATTTATAGCACAAGACTTTCCTCCAAGAATCCTTGGGAACAGCAGTTTCCACCTCACACAATTACTGTTCTCAGCATCCGTAACTATAGTTCCCAGGAACCTCTGGAGACAGTAATGCACTATAAATGTGCATTGGATATGCTTGAAATATATGGTGTGGGTGGGCCTTGATTATGAAGGGATTACTAGGTTTTTCTAGAGAAACAGGGATGTTCAGTGATGAACCAGGAAGGTAGGCTAGTTCTGAGAACACAGGGCCTGATGCAGTCCAAGCTAAGCATGCTTTTAAAGGCACGTGCATTTCAGTGGGATAATTAAGAACTTAACATGGCTTTTCCTAGTGAAAAACCACGAGTCAGTGCTAAATTTTCCCATTGAAATCAATGGGACTTTACAAAAATGCTTACGTTTTCCTGGATTGGGCCTTGAGTTGTCTTTTGGGAATCCCCATGCATAATCTGGAGATGTGTGTGTGTGTGTGTGCGCACGCGCATGCATGTGCATAGATTTATTTTAGCACTGTCCTTTGTGTGTATGTCTGAGTGGAGAATGTGGACAGTGCAAAGCAAGGAATAGCTATCATGGTGACCTCTAAATGTTGTTTACCCACAACTCCTATTGCCATCAGTCTCGGGCAACATGGCCAATGTTAGGAATGATGGGATTTGGACTCTGACAACATCTGTTAGGTGTCATGTTAGCTAGCTAGCCCTGATGTAAGCAGTGGGTGTAGGATCCATGAGCATAGCCGGGGGGGGGGGGCAGGGGGGAGCTGCCCCCCTAAATCAAGTAAAAAAATAAAAATACTTAACTGTTATCGCAGTTATCGCAGTTAACTTGGTTCTGCCCCCCCAACGTAAAGGCTGCCCCCTCCAAAATAAATCCCGGCTGAGCCCATGGTAGGATCTTGGTGTACAGAATAAAGAGGTGCCTATTTGTATGGGGAGATATTTAGACATTCCTTAGCCAAGGGATCTGGGCAGGTGCTGTGTGCATTTGCAAGGGGTGCAAGTGGCCTGTGCTGGTCTCTGCAGCTCTTATCTGTCTTTGTGCACAGAGGTGGTAGAAGTGACCCAAGGAGGGACTTGTGACTGTGCAATGGCTGTGCAAGGTGCATGCTGCTCTTGTGTAGGCGAGCAGTTGTGCGGTGGCCCCAGGCCAGTTCCTCAAGAGCCAGTGCAAGCAACATACCACTTGTTGGTTTTGCGTAACTTTCCCTGGATGAGGGAGACGAACATATGAGAGAGAGAGAGAGAGACGGCGGCATTGTGCCCCGGTGAATGCTATGCACAGTGGAGAGAGGATATCCATAGGTGCATGTGTGTGAGAGAGACAGAGAGAAAGATAGATGACAGATAGCTCTGTTTTGGGCGTGTGCGTGGCTCGAAAGTGTGCGAGAGAGCAAGAAATCTCTGTAGCCGTGCGGGTGGGGCGCTCGCTCGCGTCCAGCCAGCACCGTGGGAAGTTGCTGGGCTCCGCGGGAGCGCCCTCAGAAGGGCGCAGGTGGGCGAGGGCGCGCGTCTTGCCAGTGGCCCGACGGAGTTTCCTGCTCTCCCTTCTCCGCCTGGGGAGCGAGCGAGCGAGGAGCGCGGCGCTCTTGCGAGGCAGAGGCGGAGAAGCGCGCAGGGGGCCGTCCCCACGTGGCGCTGACGCTGCTGCTCGGTACCACCGGACCGAGCCCGGGCTATAAAGCGAGCCGGGAGCGGGGAAGGCAGTGCTCGAGCGGGCGCCACTGGCTGCGGACGGCGCTGGCTCCGCCACCGACGAGAGTCTGCCGGGCGCGCCCCCTGCGCCGCCGCCGCCGCCTCCGCCCCGCAGCAAAGCCCGCCGAGAGTCCTCCTCCCTCTTCCCTCGCACCCCGCGACTGGCTTCAGTTTCTCGCTGCCGTCTGGGATCTGCTCCGCCGGCGACTGGGAGCAGAAGCCGCCCCTCGCGGGTGGGGAGGTCCTACCTGCCTCGCTGCCCTTTCAACTCTCCAGGACCCTCCCGGCGAAGGTAAGCGGGACTTTCGTCGTCTCCCAGCCCCGGCGGCTTCTGAATGGCTTCCTGAGGAGCCCCTCCCTTCCAGGCTGGACTTATTGGCGACTTTGCGGGAGAGGCGGAAGACAGGGTCGGCTTCGTCCCGTCGATCCGCCCGAAGATGAGCTAGCGAGGGCTGGGAGGGCAGAGGCGAGCCGCGCGCTTCCCTGGCCGAAGGGAGACCCGGAGACGGCAGAATCGGAGCCGGTTCCCTCCCCAGTGGAGATCGCTGTTGCTGCTCCTCCTCCTCCTCTCGTCGGTTATCGTCAGCGGGGACTGAAAGCTGAAGGCAGCGGTTGTTCCTGCGGACTGGATTAAGGCTGCTCTTTCTGACTTCCCCAGACCGGACTTGCTTGATCCACCGGGCACCCAGAGCTCCCCTTCCTCGCAGGGTGTGTGTTAGGGTCACATCCTCCAACAGCCTACCCAGCTCGGGTTGATGTTTAACCTGGGGAGCCCGTTCACCGAGAGGGGGGGAATCTCTTCCCTGGCACACCTGCACCACCCGCTGCTGGAGGAAAGCAGCTACTCCCAGCACATGGATGGCAACGGGAGCCTGAATGGGAGCGACGGTGGGCAGAAAGGGGGCCTCCCTTACCCCATGTACACCACCTTGGCCCTCATCACCCTCGCCACGCTGCTCATGCTCGTCACCATCTTTGGCAATGTCTTGGTCATCATTGCTATCTTCACCAGCCGAGCGCTCAAGGCCCCTCAGAACCTCTTCCTGGTCTCCTTAGCCTCGGCCGATATCCTGGTGGCCACCCTGGTCATTCCCTTCTCTCTGGCCAACGAGGTGATGGGCCACTGGTATTTTGGCAAAGTGTGGTGCGAGATCTACCTGGCCTTGGACGTGCTCTTCTGCACCTCTTCCATCGTGCATCTCTGTGCCATCAGCCTCGACCGCTACTGGTCCATCACCCAAGCCATTGAGTACAACCTCAAGCGCACGCCGCGCCGCATCAAGAGCATCATTTTCCTTGTCTGGATCATCTCTGCGGTCATCTCCTTCCCACCCCTCATCTCCATCATGAAACAGGGCGACCCTGACAGTCAGCAAGCGAAGCTGAATTCGGAGAGCAAGGAACCCAGTTGCAGCATCAACAAAGAGACGTGGTACATCATCTCTTCCTGCATCGGCTCCTTCTTTGCTCCCTGCCTTATCATGATCCTGGTCTACATGCGCATCTACCAGATTGCCAAGAGGAGGACTCGGGTGCCTCCTGGCAAGAGAGCGGAGGCCGCAGAGAGGAGGCAGAATGGTCTGGCAGATAAGGATGACATGCCCGCAATGACCAAGCTCAATGGGGAGAAGGCAGCCGTGGCAGGAGGAAGCCAGGAGAGGGAAGAAGTCAATGGTATAGACCTGGAGGACACCTCTTCATCAGAACACAATGAGAGCCATCAGACCAGGAAGCAAGAGAGGCCGCAAAGGGGCAAGGGGAAGACCAAACTAAGCCAGATTAAGCCTGGGGACACACTGCAAAACAGAGTGGAGGAGGAAAGAGATGCGAAAGCTTCCCGGTGGAGAGGCAGGCAGAACCGAGAGAAACGCTTCACTTTTGTGCTGGCGGTTGTGATTGGGGTTTTTGTGGTCTGCTGGTTCCCTTTCTTCTTCACCTACACATTGACTGCCGTTTGTAAGAGCTGCCCCGTGCCCGATACACTCTTCAAGTTCTTCTTCTGGTTTGGTTATTGTAACAGTTCCCTCAACCCTGTCATCTACACCATCTTCAACCATGACTTCAGGAGATCCTTTAAAAAGATTCTCTGCAGGATAGACCGGAAAAGGATTGTGTGAGGGATGGACTCAAGTTTGTTTACAAGACTTGTTTACGGAAGAGAGGCTCAGCTCTGGCTGGGCTTTGGAAGTGGGTGGTGTCTTATCCAGTGACTGGCCTTTGACTTCTCAAAGACTTCAGGAGACTTTGGCCTTGGCCCAGGTGGAGATGTTTCTGCCCAGTGATGGCTCTAGAGACCTGTTTGTAGGTATTGTTTCTATACACTTACAAGCTGAGCTTATGGCAAACTGAAATTAACTGATTGGAGTGTGTAAGTCAGGGAAGCAACAAAGATGAAAATATAAGTCATATATTTCAGAAGCACTTTCTTTCTATTTTTGCCCTTTGGACGATATGTCCCTGACGTCCTTGCAAAACTACAGTATTGCATCTTTGAGATCTGTACATCTTTAACTTTTGTAGGAGAAAGCAGCTTTGAAACCACTTTAAATATTTCTTGAGAACTTGAAATATATGTGGGGTGGGGGGAAAATAAACAAAGACACATCAGAATGAACCTTCAGAGCCATCTCATCCATCTTAAAAATGACAGTATTAAATGCTAAGATTTCCAATGTGGCTTTGTAAACTGATAGCATAAACTTGACCATGGCCAGTGTTTTGTTATATACCCTATATGTATTTTTTTTTAAAAAAACAATGTTTATGTTTTTTGTTTATGCAGTATTGTTAAAAAGCTTTATTTCCTCTTTTCCCATCAGCTGAAAGAAACAAGCATTAAAAGTTTCACAACTGAGAAGCATAGTACCTCTCAAAAGGATGAGCTCCTTTTAGATTTGTAATGCTGAAGAGCAACTGGGTTCTTAAAGGGTTAAGATAAGGTGCTCTTCCCTTGAAGTTACTCCACTGACTGTGTTCAATGCTAACTTATTTCCCCTACCTGTGACTGTAAATAGATAAAATGATAGATGCAGCCTTTTTGTTTTACTTTACAGTGTTACCTGATTTGCATTGATTACATTTTCATTTGTGCAAGGTGTCTGCACAAGAAAACCTTCTTTCATGCACAAGGACACTTCAGTGTGGGTATGGAATTTTAAAATTATTATTATTTTGGGGTAACCATAAGCATGTCAGCTTTCATTTTTTTTTCTAATTTCAGGTTTGGTTTATAAACATTTTCTTTGATTTGTCCTAGAGAAAAAGCAAATTATTGGTGTTATTCTACACCATATGTAAAAAACATTCATAGCAGCACAGGGGGAAAAGAGTCAATAATTGTGTTAAACATCTTCCTGATTCCACACCCCCCACTGTCCCAGTTGATGGCAAATAACTTCCTTGTCCAATAGGACAAACATCCTGAATATGATTAAAAGGGTGTAGGATGGGAAAGCAATTGGGGACATCATTTAAACATTATAAAAAGAGTATTTGTTTAAATAAAAACTGATCATGATAGTTTCTGGCTGGTGATGGTGGTTAAAAACAGACATATATTCACAATGCTAAGGTTACCTGAGTTCTTCCTCGAAGGCAAATTTCTTAGTTGAATTGGCCCTTTTTAATTAAAAAATGTCTCCATTCTACAGAACACAACTGATGCCCCTCCTTTCAGACCAGTCCTCTTCTGACTGTGGAAACAGGCAGCAAGTCTCAGCGCTGCCTTTTAGCTTTGAATGTGACAGCTCTATTCAGTGAAACAAAACAGCTGTCAGATGAGATGCTACAACCAGAGGAAGGGAAGCAGAGGTAGCCACTGAACACTGAAAGTGTTACTTGTGCCCAGCTTTGAAATGGTTTTCTCGCTGGAGAGCCTGCTACAGCTGACATTTCAAATGCAGAACTTCCTTTTAAAACAAAGCAATTTTCTAGGGAGAGGAGATGATGACCCTTCTGTCGAACTGCATACTGGTATATACAAAGTTGTGGTGTATTTCCAAAGTGCGCAGGTGCACACATGTGTTTACACAGTGGGACGTGCCATTGGCTATGCCAGCACAGTGCCACAAAACGGCAGTCTTAACAATGGCGTTGCAAACCTGTTGCAAAGATGACTCATTTTAGCAACGCAGGGAGAAAATGCTTAGAAATGAACCAGGGGTTTTGGACTGGTATATGTATTTCCCTTCCTTTTTTTCTTTTAACGGTGTGATAATACTCCTTGCAGAAAGATGCAGTTATAAAGGCCCCATCATTATAACCTTTGTGATTTTCCCTTGCTCATTGCAGCTACTAAAATATGAAACGCCTGAATCTTAATTATTCCCTATTTGCTAGAGAAAGAAGAGGATTAGATACGGAGGAGTTTTATTTCCGTTTTAGGCAAACTGCCTGCATCGTGGCTCTGTCCAACAATGTCCTGTGCTAGTTGAATAAGGTACCTCATTTGGGACACATTATGGGGCCTCTTCTCTCAAGGTTTCATAGGAGTGCTCAGGGCAGACTGGCCACTTCTGAGCTGGGGTATTAGTCTCTGGCAGATTCTGGTTGGCAAGGAGTTCAATGGTCCTTCAAGTGGAAAGCACAGTCTGGTGTCTGGTGTCCATCACTCAGAAGGTGGTGGACTCTCCTTCATTGAAAGTTTTTAAACAGAGTTTGGATGGCGTCAGGGATTCTCGAGTTTGGCTGGCATCTGTCAGGGATTCTTTAGCTGTGATTCCTGCAATTGCAGGGGGTTGACCCTCAGGGAATCCTCCCCAACTCTATGGTTCTGTGCTTCTTTAGGAGATCAGAGCAGGCACAACGCTACAAGGCACAAATCCAGAAGAAGTGAGAAGTGGTTAAGGCTTATTTAGCTGGAACACCAAAATTGTCTCTCGCCTGTGCACACATGCCTGGAAACTGATTTATTATGAGTGTGGTATAGCTTTAGTTTATGTATGGAACTTTAGTTCAAATGTGGAGCTTCCCTGCCCATCAAAGCTGCTCTGCTGTTATTCAGTGGGAGAAGGAATCATGCATATTCATTGGTTTGCACATACAGATGTTCTCCTACCATTGGCATTTACAGGGCCAGAGCCATGTCCAGATGTGTGATAAAGCACTCATGGGACTCTTCTTTTGGGCTGATAGTTTTTAAGGCAGAATAAATCACTATTTTTCAGACAGCCAGTCTGAAGTAGCATAAGTAAGAAGTTAACTGACCGTTGCGAGGTTTTTTTTAAAAGAATTGCCTATTTTTTAGGATTTCAATATTAAGTTAATGTATGCATTCATGAAACAAATGGATAATGTTTTACATTGAGGATAATATTGATTTTTCTGGGATGTGTTTTTGAAACTTTAATTGCACCTGGTACAACCACCTCATCAATGCCATTTTTTTTCTTTGCTTTTTAAGAGAATGATACCTGTAAACAGATATGGCCATAATGGTTTTTTATTTACAAAAAATAAGAATAAAAAGTTTACACATTAAAAAGCATGTTACATCTCAACTTGTCTGTCCTTTCAGCCATTTCCAGCTTTTATGGACTTACATGGAAATGGGAAACTGACCTTTTAAAGCACCTGCTGAAGTCGCCTCTTGTAGTTTGCATAAGTCATTGTTATGCCTCATGTTAATGTGAACAATGGTCTGCTTCATTGTGCACCGACAGACTGACAAACAAGCCTTTGATATTATTTTGCTTTCTTCTTTGCTGGCACAGCAAACCCATTCATGTACCTCTTAAAGAACAAGGATTAGGGCTTACTGTGTGGGCAATTTATCCTTTGCCTATTTAAGCTGGCCGTGTTTTCCACCTCCCTTCTCTCTGTCTCTCAAGTGAAATATTGTGTCCATGTAGTATTTACAAGCCGCTGACAGCCTGTTGACTAACTAGGTTACAAGTGCAAGAAGAAGCTATTAAGAGTAGGAAGAAAAGTAGAAACTGAATTCTACCAGGCTCCTGCTAGTGCTGGGGAAAGGCACATTCTCACAATGCTGGGAGACGGGGGCTCATGCTAGAGCAAGCCAGAAAAGATTGCACCTGCTCAGAAATAGATAACAAAGCCACGAATGGGGCAAAGGCAGCAATTTGTTTTTTATCGTTGATTCCTGGGGATTTCCCCTGCAATAGATATTACTGTGATTAATGGAACAGGAGTTTTATTAATGTGGCAAAAGATTTGGGCTTCTGCCTTTGTCAGCTTCTCTGATAAAAAAACGATCAGAAGCTGAAACATTTTGTTACATAAATAAAATCTCTGTATTGATTATCACAGTAACACACACACACACACACACACGGAGTATTTTAGTGATTAACCAAATTCCAAAAGGGACCCAGAGGAAGCATGTGTGAAGTGCTGTTTGATTATTCTATAGCTATAATGAATATATAGTTCATTATTGTGTCTCTGTGTGTAATATCTATTTCTCTCTCTCTCTCTCTCTCTCTCTCTCTCTCCCATGTCCAAATTGCATTGCACATTATTTATAGTACACATCTTCCTAATCCAAGAAGCTGGTTGACTCTGAACAGATAACCACAACCGGTGGTGATGAAGGGCCAATTCACTCATTATCCAATGCTGGTTCAACTCAGAGACCCATTGAAGTTAATGAACATGACTAACTTACGTCCATTTGTTTCAATGGGTTCTACTCTGAGACTGATACAATCTGGAGTCTGCTTCAAGACCATTAGGTCCAGAGTCTAAATTAAGTGTGGTACCACTATGTATAGGTACAAAATACATAGTCTGTATCACTGCATACGGGTTCAAAAGGGAATTCTAAATATGTTAGATTCTGGCTAAGATTTTCCACTAACCAGATGAAAAAGGATGAAGGATGAGTTAGAAAAGCAACCTATTGTTTTTCCTGTTCATTCATCTCTTCATCTCTTGTTGATTATTTCTTTATTGCAGTGTCTTGGCAGAAGTATCCCCGTTATTGTTCCTCTAGGATTCCTCTCCACCCAACCGCTTGCCTCATGCTACATAATTTTTGTTGTTGTTCTTCAATATTTTTTGAGCTGAACCTGGTTTGGCTGTTTGGGTTTCAAGAATCAGTGAAAATGTAGCACATAAGTGGATGAAGCATATACAGAAATTGTCTTTCCCTTGGTAACACAAACACAAAAATCAAAGTGTAAGTGGATGATAAGGAAATCCTGGTTGCTATTTGACTACAGCTACAATAAACATGAATAGACTATCAGAGATAACAGATCTCAGGGATATCTCAAGTGACAAGTTAATCAAACATTTCTCTGAGACTTCCCTGATTTTTTTCACTCAGAATATGTTTGCTGTTTTCACTTCAGGCACTGTTGAGTGAGAGCTTGCACAAACAACTTGTTCCATGTGTCTTTTAACGTGCCTCATACTTTCAGTGCCTGAATGAAGACTATCTGCAGAATGGATGCTGGAAGCTCTCAGAGATTTCATGGGATGCTTCCCTTATTTGTAATGGTATATTCTGGAATCCAGCAACATGAAGACAAACTATAACTGCTCTTTGTAAATCAGTATGATGATTTAATCTGAAGCTTTCAAAGTGACTGCCAAAATGTAAAAGTGTAAGCATATCAATACAAATCTACAACATGAAAAAGAGGCTCAAGCACCAAACCTCTATGAAATAGTGTGAAACAGCATGATGCAGGCACATACAAAAAAACCACTCAACTGAAAGTCTGTAACTCAACAATGAAGGCACCAGGAAAGCAATTCTAGGGAGTGCATTCCAGAAATAGGATGCCATCACTGAACAGCCCTTTCCTCTCAGTCACCACTCATCTGCTCTCTAATGATGGGAGGGCTGGTACATAATATAGCCTTAACTGGGCTGATTTTCTGCATTTTGGCAGCTTAGAATGGCTCGTCCCCCACCGAGTGTGTAATGTGAACACTACTGCTAGACTTTGGTAGCGTCAACTGGTTACAACTGTTGGTGCTGGTGAAAGTCTTCACATCTTGGGGCAGTGTGGGTTACAGTCCACATTTATTGCTACAATATGGTGTAGCCACACACTAATTATTCTTTTTCCAAATGGAAACACTAAATCAAATGCTAAGGAGAAGGCAGCATAGTGAGGTTAGGATGGTGGAGGCAATTTTTTGCTAAAGAAGTAGGTTTTGAGTGCTTGGATACATACCGAGAGGCAGAAACTGGAAGGTTTGAGAATGCAATGAAAAAAGAGGAAGACAAGTTGAGCATAGATAGATGAACTTGGATTTAGCAGAAGTAGCAAGTGAGGGATAGTGAGGAAACGGCAATATTCAAAGGTCAAGAGCTTTCAAAGTAATGATTGCCAGCTTGAAGTTGATCTGAAGTGCAACAGGAAGCCAGTCCAGGGAGCAGGGTCACTAAGAAGAGAATCCAATGAACTAGACAGCATGGACTGGAGGGCTGCATCTGGTTCTCCAGTCCAGCTGTAGAGGGAGTTTGCATGTCTACCAAGTAAGAGATGATGCTGGACAGATCCTCTCATGGATAAGACCGAAATGTAGGAAACAAAAGCAGGAGACCC